TGGCTTAGAAGTAAAAATGGCTTATGGCAATATAAAGGTAGATCCTGGTCTTACAGTTTTCCAGGTAAGAAATTATGGCAGCTTGGACTACTGTAGTGGTGCTGATGGATACAAACGTGGGAATGTAGAGGGAATCATGAAGAACTATCCCTTCTGGGTTACTCTATAAAAATTGAAACATAGAAAGAGGATATCACATATATAAACTTTTTCTGCCAATGTATTTGTCAGAGACTTGGAGGAAAAGATATGGTGGAGGCTGTGGTTTGGCTCATTCAGCTTTTAACTCAACCTTTCTGTAGCACAGAGGCTGAAAAGATAAGAATTGCATTTCCTTACCTCTCTTACAGCTAGACATGAAGTAATAAGAGAGAACAACAGGATTTCAGGCATACATTTTGCTGGCGTGACTCATAACAGAAAGGGTGTGGTCCTGGCAATTCAGCCAAATCTTGCTATTTGAAAGGCAGGCTTCTGATAGTAGCGGGAATAGTAGCAATCTTGGCAGTCCAGTTTGGCACCTAAACACTTACTACCTATGAGCTGTGATTATACTTAATATTTACAGTAGATAATGATATAGGATCACAGTGCTAGAGTTAGTATTTAATGAAGTGCTCAGCCTGAGTCCTGAGGTAGTTCAGTCCTAAAGGAAATTCTGTTTCATGGCATAATGTACATGACATTGATGTCCTTCTGCCCGTTATGTTCCTTTTTACAAGTATGCTCCTGCAGTATAGCATGCTTTAAAAAGTGGATCTGTCAAATACTTGGGAGAAAGCTATCTTGTTCCTAAAGGTGAGAGATCTAGAACATCTCAGAAATTTTAAACAGTTGATAAACAGTGACTCACGATTAGAGTGAATGGTGACCTCAGAAGCTAGCCACTTACATTAAGCAGGAACTGTAGCTGAACCAGGAAACCTAAGAGTGTGGCAACTTCCTTTACAAGGATAACTTTATTGTAATAAACACAAATTTTTGATCAAAAGTTTAAAATGTCAACAAAGACATGCAGGAAGTGACTCTGTGCTCCTAATTCTCAAAATAATCTCTTTCTTCTCTGAATACATTTTTGGTATGTCTCTTAGGACATTTTCGACTTTTTTTAGCTTGTATTATAGTTATTTATATCCATATTTGATCTGCCACATAGATGAAACTGTAAAAGCAATGAGAGCAGGAACACCCACCGCTTCATCTTTCATCTCTTAAAGTGTCTGCTAAGAATGGTCCCTTATACAATGGAGGTAGGCAACCTATATTTAATCAAGGAATGGATGAATTCATGTACAATCCTTGTCCTGAGCTTACTGACACTTTTGAAAGACTGTTTCCAAGGTGTTCCTATGTACCAAAATGCTTTGATTCCATTTTCTAGATAAAAGTGAAGGAGGGAGATGAAAAGGAATGTACAGGATGGGCAGGTGGCATCACTCCTCCAGATAAATGTTTTCTCTGCCTCTCCTATGTGATGGATATAGAAATGAGGACTGCTAAGCAGGCAGGAGATCTAGTGTCTGGTCTGTATGATTATGGTCAAGATGTTGGAGCTCTCTGGGCCAATCCCTCCATAAAAGGGGTTGATGAGGTAATAAGCTATGGTTCTGTCTCGCTTTTAATCACCATTCCAGAAGATTTGAAAGCATTAGGGATTTTAAAGGTCCTCTATCCCCAGGATGGCAATTCAGCACCTTCGTATGTGTTGACTCTGGTCTATCAGTAGTGGCTTCCTGGAGCACTCTGTTAAGGAGGATTCTGAGGTCCTATTTGAACTCAATAAGTTCAGCCTTGAGTTAGTGTCTGTAATGATGCCAGGAAGGGAGTAGCAGCGAACAAGCCAAGATATGTCATCCCTTATTTAGCCTTCTCCTCACAGGATGACAATGAGACCAGAAGATTGTTTTGAGCTTACTGAACAAATTGCTTTTACACACTTGTACTTAATTGGATAATTTTAAAAACTTAACATAATTATGATTCCCATTTTACAGATGAGGTTTAGGGAGGCAAAATTTGCCCAGGGCTCACACTTAGAAATTCATCCTTAATCACCTGTTTATACTGCCTCCTAATTCCTGGGCATTTGCTGTGTGCTAAGTGGTTTTCTTCCTGGAATGATTTTGATAATATCTAGAGACCTTTTTTTTTTTGGTTGTTACAACTGGGAAGGAGGGGGTGTTCCTTTCATTTAGTGGGTAGAGGGCAGGGATATGGCTAAATGCACAGGAAAGCTTCTATCCCACAACCAAGAATTATCTGGCCTTAAATGTCAAGAGTTGAGATTGAGAACGCTGCTAGGCTGTATGCCATTTGTTTTCAGATGATCAAACACTTCCAGAAGGAATAATTATTCTTTGCATTTCAGAGTAGGAAAGGTATCTCGGAATGCGGAAGTAGTTGTGACAAGACAGAAAGCCAGGTGGCTTGATTCTAGAATCTGTGTAGTTTCTGCCCACACTCCATTATGATCAACTTACTTCACTATCAACACATGGAAACTCACGCAGCTCCTGCTTATCTATTATGACGTTCAGACGCGGCCAACTGCGGGGTGGGGGGCGGGGCGAGGGAAGTCCCCTCCATGGTGGGTGGGAGTATCTTCAAAGATAAATGGTATTTGTTCAACAGTTCAAAGAAGAGGTGCTCTAGAAATTCTTACTATGCAGCCATTTATCCTTCTCGCGTACATTCAAATCATTGCTTTAAATAAAACTCCAAGGGGAAAGCTAATTTTGGACCATTAACAAGCTTTTTCAAGAATAATTAGCTCTATGTGGGTTTCAACTTTAATTTTTTTTCCTTTTGATTGTAGCTGGAGAGCCTGGCAGCTTATTTAGGAGTAGAAGAGGAAATGAAACTATGAAAAGACACAGTAAGATTCCTCTTTTTCTTGGAGGCAAGGCACAATCTGGATATGAATAAATAACCCTCTTGTCCTGTCTAATTAACTGCCTCAATAGGGAAGCGCGCGCGCACACACACACACACACACAGAGAGAGAGAGAGAGAGAGAGAGAGAGAGAGAGAGAGAGAGAGAGAAAGAGAGAGAGAGAGAGCGCCAAGAATTGGATGCTAGATTAAACAGTAAGACCCTACGCAAAGAAATTCCTTTCGTATTGAAGATCTGCCTCCCGCAGAAAAAGTAAAGCTGATGAAACAAGCTGATGGTGGAAGTGGGGAAAGAAGAAGAAGGAAAAAAATAGCTTGAGTGAGAGAAGGGGCGTGGAGGAGGAGGTCGGAGCGAGCTTCTCTCTCAGGGAAGAGTTACTGGAAGGGGAAGTAAGGTCGGGAAAGCGCAGTGTGAGCGGCTCAGGCAGCCGGGCTGGGAGTGAGCAAGGCGTGTCTTGAATTGAAGATGAGTGGTTCGCGGGCCCGCCAGACCCGTTCCTCCACCGGTGCTCGTCAGGTGTCAGGGGTGGCTTAGGAACCTCCGCGTCATTCCATTTGAAGTCTTCTGCAACACAGTTCTTCGTGTGCCAACGTGGGCAGCATGGCAGCCAGTTTGTTCTGCAGCATCTCGGGATCCTCCCGCCCTCGCCCTCGGCTTGCCAGAACCAAAGCAGACAGTCCCACGCACTCCGCCACAGTGAAGGTTCCAGAAAGCGGAGAACTGAGCGGGATGAATAAAATGCGGAAAGAATCTGAGAAACCTTAACTTGGGGTCAGTGTAGATCCTGGAAATGCGGCGACGGCCGCAGGTGGCGTCTGGCACGGGAACTAGGCGTTCTGGAATGCCTACAGTGCCAGGAAGGGAGCCTAACGAGCCACATCCATTGCCAGCTCTGTCTTCAGAGAGGTTAAATGCTTTGCATTTGCGCTTCCCTGTGTCTTGGGACGCTCTTCCTGAGTCTGGGTGTGGCAACTCCTTTCCCAATTCAGGAATCTGCCTAAAAGCCACCTCCGCCAGGGGCCTTCGCGTTTCCCCGTCACACACATCGTCACTTTGTGAAAGCTCTGCGTGGCCCTCATCTCAGAGCTAGTAATGCATCAACATTTTCTTGTTTATATTCGTGTATTCTCCTTTGTTTACTGTCTGCCTCCCCCGGGTACCTTTTTCACAGGTGTAGGGCCGCAGCTGCTCCTGGCACACCAACAGGCACTCGATAAGTGCTCATTCTTCCCTTCCCTCCCCGCCACCTGCGGCACTGGATGCATTGCAGCCTGCAAAATGACCCCAGTGATCAGTGGCTTGCATTCCAGCTAGGACTGGAGGACGCTCAGGACCGAAAGGGCAGTCAAGTCAGGTGGACCTTCCCGTCTATAAAGAGCTCCTGAGTTTTAATTGCAACTATACCGCATCTCTTCCTTGCACCGAAATTGCAAGAACAAAACGAGCAGTCTCCCCTCACTCTTCCCCTGGGTCCCGGCACGAATCTGTGCGACTGCCTCGGGTGGCCCGGTCAGTCTCGGAGTCCAGTGTCCCACATTAATTCTGTTCTCTGACATCGTGCCTACCTATCATCTCCTCGCCACGTATTATCCCGTTCTCGGTCCCCCCTGACTCAGACTTTTTTCAAGCAGTCAAGTGATCCTTGCCTGTTAGACAACATGTGTCCCCTGGAACCTTCTCCTTAAACTAGCCCTCCCGCGCCACCTTCATTTCTCCTTTCCTGGCCCGGAAATGCTATTCGACAAACATTCGTTGAGGCCCTACAGCACACTAGCATCGCGCTGGGAGGCGGGGAGTCCCTTGTTCCATTCGCCGTAGTTTTCATCCCCCTCCGCCCTTTCGACGGGTTCCAAACCCAGGGACACAACTCGTCTGACGCATCACGGAATCAGCCAGTTTCTTCCAAGAGCAGCGCCCCATCTTCGTTCCCGACTGCTGATTGGAGAACGTGGAAGTCACTCTGCCGTTCTCCCGCCCTCCCCACGTAGGCCCGCCCCCAGGACGGACGTAGGCTCCTCCTATTCGCTCTTGCTCCCGCCCCTTGCTCGGAGGCTTCGACTAATCGCCCTGCGGCGCGCGCGGAGAAGTTCTGGGCAAAGTACTGGGAACTGTGCGCGCGATCGCAGCGCGGGCGAGCCGGCGGGACTAGGAACCCCAGCGCCCGGCGGCCAGTGCGCGGCGCCAGCTCAGTCAGCGCTCCTGTTTCCTGCGGCTGGTGCGGGAACTGTCAGCAGCGCGTTGCAGGAGGGACCAGACAGAGAAGCCGGATTTGCCTCCGTCCCAGAGAAGCCCGGAGTCACCCGGAGACACCGGGGAACGAGGCGGCTCCCCCAACGGCAGAGCGGGCAGGTAAGCGGCAGGGCGTCCGCCGGAATGGTGCTGGGATGGGGTGGTTACTTGGAGGCGGTGGGGGCTCGAAGGGCTGCGGTTTCGGGGAGCAGTGTCTTCTAGGTAGGAACAGACTCTGTCCTGCAAGGAAGAGCTGGCCGGCGGGATATTCCAGAGCCAGAGAGATCGCCCCTGTGTCGGCTTCAGTCCTTTCCCCAGTCCCGGGAGGAAGGACCGGGTGCTTCCTACTCTGCGGTTCTGTCCATCGAGGGACAACTTGGCCCTGGATGACTGCGAGAAGTACCAAGCGCAGGGGCCTGGGTGGGTGCGGGAGGATGCGGCGCGCAGGAGCTGTCCGGAGCAACGGCCAGGCGCGGTGCCGGAGAGGCAGGCACAGGAAACCCTTTTAATTGGGCCAGGCGCGAGGCTTTACCACATCCGCAGGTTGGGGTGCGGCAGGCCGACCCCAGCGACGATCCACAGTGAAGGCGCCGCGCTCGCTCGGGTCCCCAGCGCCCGGGCCACTTGGGACTCTCAGGCGCCCCGGGGAGTGTGTGCAGCCTCTGGAGTCACTGCTGGCACTGCCCTACATCGTTTAGATACTTCTTCAGCCAGGGCGCGCCGCCCTCATTCTTGGAACTGAAAGGACTGTGGAGTTGTCGATTTCCATGTGTGTGAACTGCTCTGAGGCTTTGGAGTCCCCACAGAGGACGCACCGACATTCAAGTTTTAATTACTGGGATGGGGGCATTTAGAAACAGTATTTTAAACTATAGCTGCAAAAGACAAACTTTCGTAGACATGTGAAAGCGTGGGTCTGGCTTCTCATCATCCACACTTTTACCCCAAGCATTATACGAGGTGAGGTCCCCCTTCTGGCCCAAAGGAGATTAGTCAGGCAGACCCAGGCTGCGATGTATCCAAGCTAAATGGCCACTCTTCCCAACGCCACGCCGCCCTGTTTCCTGTTACTTGTAGCACTTATCCTTCTCTGAAATGATATTCTTGGTTTATTTGTCATTTGCCTTCACCTACTAGAATGTAAAGCCCAGGAAAGCAGAAACCTTACCTGTCTTGTTCATCACTTGATCCTCAATGTCATGAATACTGCCGAACACACAGTAGGTTCGCAATACACATTTGTAGAACGAATAAATGAAAAATTTTCTGCAGATATGAGAAATGGTGATTTCATAGCTGGTTTTGATTTTTCATCTTTATACTTTTTTTTCCTATTGGGAAAATTAACAATTAGCAATTGATGAGCACCCACTAACTGCCTAAATACATGCTAGGAACTTTGTATTGTCTCATTAAACTTTACAGTAATCTAAATATCTAGGTATTTTTAACCAGATGGAAAATTAATTTGTTGTTTTACCACTGTGATAACACAGGTTAACCAGTTTTCCCAAGGTTGTCTTGGGAAAACTAGGATTCCAGACTATTTTCTTCTTTGTTGTGCTGTGCCACTTATAAGAAACTAAATGTTGTTTTCACTGTTAGAACCAATGGACCTTTAGCTTTGTTGCAAGAGCTATTGCTAAGCCAAAAGATTGGTTGTTTTACCACTGTGATAATCTTTTTTTTTTTCGGTACTGGGGTTCACTTTGAGCCACTCTACCAGCCCTATTTTTGAGATAGGTTCTCACCAACTCAATCCTGCTGATGTCTGCCTCCTGAGTGGCTAGGATTACAGGTGTAAGCCACCAGTGCCCGGCCCACTGTGATAAATTTTCAATAATAGCTAACAGTTATGTTGTAGGTCAGCTACCAGCAGGCTGCCGGAGGTCATATTACTACATTTTCTTCATCATCTTGATAGGCAGTGTTGTGATATTATCTCCATTTTCTCAGGTGAAAAAAAACCTGAAGGAATTTGCCTAGGGTCAATAGTAAATAGCTGAGCTAGATTTTATTACTCTTTCTGACTCTAAATCCTTAGCTCCCTCCATTACACTCTAATGTTTCCAGCCCTACCATTTAACTAGATGTTAAGTCATATGGATAGAGCCCAATGATACCATATATTAAAACCATCTGAGTTTGGGCTATAAACTTGCTGTTGCCAGGATAGTCTAGGTGCACTGTTTCTGAATTGTTGATACTCTTGCTGCCATTGGTTTTTGTGGTTGAGTCTGGTAGATCAGGTGGCTTTTAAAAGGGGAAGAAATACAATCCTCCTTTCACCTAATCTAAAGAGAAATCAGATTGTTTTTGCCCACTGTGGTAAGTGAACTTTGAACAGAGTTCTACCTCTTAAGGGAAGTGCGGAGAAACCAGCTAGTCCCACTACATAGAAACCATTAATTCCAACAGCCTCTGGAGCAGTCTTTTAGTAAAATAACATTGCAGCTTCTTCTCTCACATTGAAACTGAGGGTGCAGAGCAGCTGGGAAAGAGTGGCATGGTTACTGCCTAGAGGGCCAATGGCAAAACGGCATGGGAAAGGACTTTTTTCCCTCTATTTCATTTCAGTTTGGGGGGACAATACAGTGTTTTTCCCTGCACGAGGGTCTGGATTATCCATAATTTTAGGTATGATGTGATTCTTGGCAGTATTGTGTTTTCTTAATTGTCATTTCCATTTCAGAAACCAGCCAGGGAGGGTTGGAGGAGAGTGCCCAGGAAGTGAGGGGGGTGTGAGACATTAGGGAAGGTGGAAGCTGTTAAGTTGAAATGAGCCTTCCATGCATAATTGAGAGTTGTTTATGGCTCCCTGCACATTCATAGCTGTTCATCAGCTCTCTCCTCTGAAAACTTCTTTCTTGACTTCCCAAGACCATGTTCATGTTTATCCAACTGTTATCTCAATATCTTCCATGTGGGTCATTTCCTGTTGCCCCCGTCAAGTCATAGTTCTTCACTCTGCCCTATCATTGCCTATGGATGGGTTTTGCTACCTCTGTCTCCCTTTCATACCATGGATGGTCAGGTAAATTGTTTAAGTACTATCATTACATTTTAAAAAACGTTCTGGGTGGCTTTTATAGTTAATAATAACAGTAACAGCGGCAAGAGCTGCTGAACTTTCATGTGCCAAGTGCTGCATCAATGCTGTACAGCCATCATTGCATTCAATCTTGGGAGTCACATCAAAGCTGGTGTGTTATACTCTCAATCTCCAGATGAGGCTAGGAAAAGTTAAGTTCACATCTACTGTGCAACCAATAAAAGTTGGAGCTAAGAGCCAAACCCAAGTCTTCTTTCCTACTCATCTAAGTATAAACTCCCAGCCAGGATCCAATAGCCTGGGCTCAGCCATGGCCTTCACTAATAATTCACTGACACTGTGTCCTTGTAATCTGAACAAAGCATTTTGTCTTTGAGCCTGCAGTCCTGTTGCCTAGAAAGTTCTCTCACTGTCTCCCTGAGAAAATCTAAATCTCTTAAGGCTGAACTCTTAAACTACTGTCAGCATAATCTCTCTGAACCCAAACTCTGTGAGCATTTAAGAGCCAGAATGAATCTCTATTTTTATTTCTAGTCACTGAGAATGTTGCTGCTTTGTTTCATTCATTACTTCATTCATACTTTTTACATTCCCTCATTCCTCCTATCCAATTGCCTTCTGACCCAGTTATTTATTCAAATGTATTATGCTCTTCCTAGATTTTAAGTGTTTTGAAGGCAGGGCAAGTATGTATTCCTCATGTTTCTGTCTCTCACATAACTAGGCTTGGTGTCCTATCCTTAGTAGGTGCTCAATTCAAAAAAGAATATTAAGCAACTGTATTTGGTTGCATTCTGTTAGAAAAAGTAGTTGGAATGTAGCATTTTGTTTTCTAGTTTTTGATGCACAATACTTTAGTGCTTTCATCAATTTATGATGAAGCAATAGAATCTCTAGTTAAATTTACGGAAAGCATCTATTCTGGTCATCCTTACCTGTGGACCGTGGATCTATAGCCAGGGAACCATAGATCTTTACAAACATTGCCTATAGAATAAATATCTTGGCATAAGGCATTTACTGTTTTTTATATTTTTGGTAATGCTGTTATTAAAATGTATTAAAATTGTTCTTGAATTCACACTGTTTGTGAATATTTTGATTAATGAATATTTCACATTTTAAACCAGGTTGAAGACATCTCTGTCCAGCTCCTAGTACACCAATCATCACTTGCTCTGTTTGTTCAGTCTCACTGAACTAAATGCAGCGTGGCATTCCTACCCTCAGGGCAAGGCAGGATGGGGTTTGGCCTCCTGGTTTTTGCATGATCTTTTGTATTCATCATAATCTTTTCTTCCTCGCCCACTTTTGCCTGATTCATTTCCAGTCATGCATCACATTTTAGCATGGATGGAACTTGTAGCTTAGCATGGATGGAACTTGTAGGAAGTCTTCTTTAGCCTCCTTCAAGTTGGAGTTGAAGAATGCTCACCATGCTTTGTGCCTACCCATTTTATATGGAGCAATTATCTGCAGTTACACAGCATTGTGTAACTGTCAGTCACTTGTCTAAATCTTGCCCCAACTCACCATTTCTCCTTTGGCTTACATTGGAGTTACTTAGAGATCCTTAAGAATTTTCTCTACCAGTGCCCCTTACTTCCAAAGTTTCTGGATCAAGTAGCTTGGGTTGAGGAAGGCTGGTGACTGGAATTTCTTAAAGGTGCTTTCTCCTTCCTTGTCTATTATAGCTGGATATTGTTTCATTGTATGAACTTTATTAAGTTACTATTTTTATTAAAATAGCAGCTATAATGAGATATAATTCACATAGTATACAACTCACCCATTTAAATAATACAATGTAATGTTTTTTAGTATATTCACAGAGTTGTACAGCCATGATAACTAATTTTAGAAGATTTGATTACTCCAATTTTATGTCTGTATGGACTTGCCTGGTCTATAAATGATATCATATATTCAGTCTGAGGCATTTTGTGTCTCACTTCTTTTATTTAGCAGGTTTTCAAGGTTCATCCTTGTTGTAGCAGGAAGCAGTACTTCATTCCCTTCGTTGCTTAATAATATCCTATTGTGTGTAGATGCCATATTTTATTTATCC